ATGTTGTTTTATGCACTTTAGGGCAGGGATTGACACCACCTAAACCTCAAAATCAGGAGCCTGGGGATAACTCTAGACTCCGTTCCCTTCCTTCCTTTTCCCTTCAGTCTAAATTTCCTCCGGATGTCATCTTTTAGGTATCTCTTGGCCTAAAGCCTACCTCACCATCCTGGCCAACAGTGCCCTCAGCCAGACCCTTCACCTCTCTTGCCTGAGCCCTCCCGATGGCGTGGGTTGGAATTTCCACTGAGTGTCGTGCCTGTGGAAAGGACAGATTATTTTCTGTTCTTGTGGTTTTCTGTTTTAAGACTTTGCTGTTTGGTTCTATTCAAAAACAGAATAGTAATAATCATCCTGAAGACACATATTGTACTTCCAAAGCATTGAGAGGAGCTGTTCAAATTATCCATATTTATCCATATGAGGTTTAGAGGGGTTATATGTTTGTCTAGGGCCATCTGCTTTGGAACCATCATTCAGACCCAAGTTCCCTGAACTCTGAGTGTCTTTTTCTCCTTCCTCCTTTTCTCCTCCCCCTTTTCTTTTTATGATTCTTCTTCTCCGAGCATCTGAAGTTCAGCTTTCTTTTCCCTTGAACACTAGAAACACATCAGGTATTATTTTATATGTCTTGGGCTCCTGCTATGAAGATCAGTATTAAAAACCAACAGCAGCTTGTTATTTATGGCAATATCTGCTGTTAGTAAGAGAGACAGAGCAAACAATTCCCTATTGTTACAGACGCTACTTTGGCTTGACAGCTGGGGAAGTCTGATAGGCAGTTTATTTACTTAGCATTAAACCAAAATGTTTTCATTTTTTTTTAATCTCCTCAAACGCTAACACTTTGCCCTTAAAATTAGTCTAGCAACACATCGGTGAAGTATAAATTACCTGCCATTCTCACACCAACCATTATAATATTATTTGGGTTCTTTTTTTGCCCCTGTTGACCCAGTCTTTTAAAGACACGTGATTCTCCCAGGTGGAAGGGGAAGGGGAAATGAAATAACCAAAGATATTTTGCTTTATTGCTAACACAGGAATGCCATTTGAGATGGGCCCCGAAGCTCCCACCTTTAAGGCTGGAGTCCCTCGGTTTCCTCTTACTGTGGTGCAAAGCGGCTTTAACTTATCACCAGATGTCACCCTGCCTACTCAGAATTGTGCGGGTATTTCTAATAAAAAAAGCAGCTGGAGATATTGGTTGTGAGGGCGATAAGGAAGACGGGACTCCTGCTTTCCTATTGTACGAAGGCACAAGGGAAAATAAAACCACGGATGGAACCATCTCTGCATGTTATCCTCTCTGAACGCCTGGAAAGGCACTAAGAAATTGCAGTTAGTAAATTTCCAGCTGGTTGGATGGTGAATGGAATGGAGATAGAAAAATCAAACATGGCTTGCTTTTGATGGAGAGGCCCGGAAAGGCTCATTTGGACTTCCGGGTGGGTGCCTAGAAGATATGTCTGCAAGGCTGGCATCAGCCCCTTGGAATGCAATTCTTGATATGCAATTCTTCATAGGCAATTGTGAAACTGCCAGGCAAAACTTTTAAAGGGAGAAAAATTACTTCATTGCAGATTAGAGTCCAGCACTCCTTTGGAACTGGGAGCTGCTTATGATTTACATGTAACTACAAGGCTATTCATTTTTTTTTTGTTTGTTTTTAAAAAATATATTTTTATTGATTTTTTACAGAGAGGAAGAGAGAGGGACAGAGAGTTAGAAACATCGATGAGAGAGAAACATAGATCTGTTTGTTTGTTTTTAAGTGAAAAGAGGCCTGTGAGGCCCTAACTAGTGCCCTTCTGACTATGGGACAGGGAAGGCCAGAGAGCTAAGAAGTGGGTTTCTCTTTTCTTCCCCACTTCAAAAACTGTGTTGAGGCTAGTTAAAGGTTAATTATCTGAAGATATAAAGTACAAAGCAAAATCTCCCAGCTAGTAGCCTGGGTTCTTATGGCAGAATTTATTCAACAGAAGGTCTAATGTACATAACTCAAGGTAGTAGAGAACCTACATTTATTGAGCACTTATGATGATGCTGGCATTGGTGGTGATGTTGGTGGGGGTGTGGTGGTGTTGGTAGTGATGATGGTGATAGTACTGTTGTTGTTAGTATTGGTGGTCATGTTATTATTGATGGTATTGACGGTGCTGTGTTGGTGATGGTGGTGATGTTGGTGTTGGCAGTGATGTTGGTGTTGGTATTGGTGGTGGTGGTGATGGGATGGTGTGGCAGCTAATATTTATTAGGTGTTTACTATGTGTCAGACATGTACTACGAGCTTCACAAACATCACCTCATGTAGTTCAAATAATAACCTTATGAGGCAACACTCTTTGTATCCTAATTTTTCAAAATAAGACAGAGACAGTTCAAAATCTCATCAGGGTCACAGAACTAGTAAGTGGTAGCCAGATTCCCAACATGGACAGTTTCACTCCAGAACCCAGATTTTTAATCTAAATTTTCAGCTGGGTACTGAGTGTCTGCCTCTATGCTAGAGACTCACCTTATGCTCTCTCAGTTAATATCATGGATAATAATAGCCTCTTCTAGCTGATGAAGAAACCAAGACTCAACAGGAATTATGGTTCTTGCCCAATATTTCTTGCTCTTAAGTAGCTGAGCTAGAATTTGAACTCAAGTTCCAAATCCTGAGCTCTTCTAACTACACCATGCTACATCCATTCACAACTCAGCCATGGGTTCTGGGTGGAACAACAAATGAGGAACAGGCTGAAGCCCCACAAGACAGTTCAGCTTATATTACTCTCTCAAGCTGAACAGACTCATAAATATGAGGGTTTGATACATTGATCTGCAAATGGTCCAAGTCATCTTTGTTTTCTAGCAGAACTTCAATTTTAGGATGATGTTTGCTGTTATCCTGATGAATGGCGGCTCATTCATCAAAATTTTCAAGGCAAGATGGAGCATGTGAAATGACACATGTGCAAGGGGTAGAAAACCTCCTGGGGATTCTCCCCAAAGGAGTCCATCCAGCATCCTCAACTTTTCCCTTTCCTGGAACATGATTTTGCCTTTAACTCACCAGCTCTCCAAACAGCTTTGCAAGATTGATACTGTAGATGGGTATCAGTCTTACAAAGACTGATCATGGTTTTGTATGGCATGATGTGTTATTATGTGCTATTGTAGTGATATAACATAGAAAAATATACAGTATACTGTCAAATTACAGTGGGGAAGGGAGGGAGATCTGGGGGAGATAATAGATCAATCGAAGGACTTGTATACATGCATATAAGTACAACCAATGGACATAAAACTCTAGGGAAGGAGGGTATGTATAGGAGGGAGAGAGGGGGGCAAAAAATCAATAAAATATATTTAAAATATTTTTAAAAGAAAACAGAAAAAAAGAAGAAAAATATACAGTATATTAAGTTCTTTGGTCATGAACTCTAGTAACAAAACGCACTCTCAAAACACTCTTAGCTTTCAATTACCATCCCAATAACATACATGTGACCTGAGAATGATTATAAGGGTGCCCCAGAATCCATTTATGAACAGTGAAAACTATTTACCATTTTAATGGTTTTGGCCACACTGTTCAAGACTAAAGAAAAGGAAGCTCTGTGGATACAGCCTTGTAGTCCCCCACGCTATGGAAAACTAGGAAAGTATCTGAAAATTGAACACATTTGTCAAGGAGTGACTGAGAAATCATGTCTGGGTAATAAGGTATACTTCTGTCTCCTGAGAAGGTTCGCCTCATCAGCAACTCTTTCTCTGGATCAAATTGAAATTCAAGTGCCAAAAGCCACTTGTAGTAAATGTAAGCACACCTCTCTCAAAGTAGCTGCTGATGGAATCTGAAGTGGCTGGGGGCCAGCACATGCTGTAGCACAGGTGTAAACTGCAGAGCCCTGGAGTGAATGCTGCATGTCTTTGGCCTTCGAATTTCCCTTTCCCATTGGGAAGGGGGCAGGGCCCCTTTGGCTAGACACAATAGGCTACCATGATCTTACATCTCTATCAGTCTTATTTCAAGCACTACTTATTGTTGCTTCTTAGTCTGGCTTCTCAGTGTGCTTAGTTGGGATCCAGGCAAAAATCCTGGTTTATAAGATTAAAACATCGGAACCACGTCTCACTGAAAACTGATCAGGGTGGGAAGAATGTGTCCATCTCAGAATTGATGCTTTCAGAAACTGGATCCACGTGAAGTAGCATTGACTACACCTCATTCTGTCATCACCAGTAATTGCAAACGTATAATTAATAAAATAATAGGGCCATTCGCCACACTTCACCCCTCCCTTATCTCCCAATGTATGTCAAAGGTCATGCATCCATGAGGAAAAATTAGGTGACAAATAAACACCAGGCAAGGAGAGATGACATGAACATTCAGGGATATGCTTAGCAAGGAGAGATGGTACAAAGATCAGGAACATAACTTTCAAAGTGAGAAAGAGGCAACAAAAGGGAAAGCAGATGGCTTAGGATGAAGGAGATAAAAGGACAGATACCTACCCCAACCTGCGCTATCTAGCTACCGGCCTGTGGACTTATATTATCAGCACTGGGCTCCCCACTGGGCTCCCCAAATGGATCACTGTTGGATGAGGCCTGTGATCCATCGGGCTAGAACACAAGAAGATAACACTTTTTTTCTTTTCTTTTCTTTTCAACAATTGAAAATATAAGACAGCTGGGCACACTTTCATGCACACAAATAATCGGCTATTTTAATGCAGGCAGCAACTTTAGTTAGAGGATACCACACCCACACATGCAAGAACTTGTAAGAACAACTTAATAAAAGGACAATGGTTTTTAGCTGCTCATTGGAACATAAAGCCCCTTAGTGACCTCTTTAGAACTTAAGCGCCTGAGCCAGCATTCTTTTTGAACTTAGGTTTCTTCATGCATTATCCATTTCAACTATAGAGGGTTTGATGTTAAGGAAAAACAAACAAACAAAAAAAAACAAAAACAGAAAGAATAAGCCCGTCACTTACAGCCTCTTGCTCTTCGCTTTTGCTGGGACTTTCAAAGCCCTCTTCAAAGATGTCATCTGTGGTAGGATCACTGGCGTGGGATGCAGATGACTTGGAAGGAGAGCTCTGTCTAGGGGCTGGTGTTGGAGCTGAACAGAGACCATGCAAAGAGATGAAATCCAGTAAGTGCCTGGCTGCAAACGTGTGTACCCCACAGACACCTCGGGGATCTGATTCTGTTGGAGTAAAGTCACAGGACTCCTCTTCCTATCACAGGTCAAATCAGGTGAATAGTTTAATATTTCCTCTGTACATATTTATCTTGTCCTCTCACATTCTTCTTTAAATCCATTTTTAACTTCACCCTTATTGTTGAGACTATTACAGATGTTCTCATTACCCCTGCCTCCCCTGGCCCATCTCCACCAAGCCCTCATCTCACTTTCCTCTGGCCACTGTTGTCTGTGTCCATTCTCTGGCTAATCTCTTCATTCTTTCATTCAGTTCCTTCTAGTCCCCCTCCCGTTCCCCTCTCTCTCTGTCAGCTGTCAGTCTGTTCCATGTATCTCATATTCTTAATGGTCAGGAAGGAGCTGACCACATGAATGAAATAAACACTGGTTCTCAAGGGATAGTCCCTGAATCAGTGGCATCAGCCACATCTGGGCACTTGTTATAAATGCAAAAGTCCAGACCTACTGAGTCTGAGACCGTGTTTCTGCACGCTCAAGTTGAAAACCATACTTTCCCCCCCTTCTCTCTTGATTAACATCAAACAATTAATACAGTAAGAATAACTAGATCAGAGAACAATGATATACATTGAATGAATGCCATCAATGTGACAGATACTGTCAGAAATGTTACAAACATCATCTGTAACCCTCATAACACCTCTTTGGAGTAGAATTTTCACAATTACAGAGAAGAGGCAAGTGAAGGTTGCTAAACTGCTCTAGGCCACACAGCTGGGATCTGGTATCATCCCCTGGTACACAGTAGATACTTGTTTGATAAACACATGCTAAATAAGGTGTGTCTCAGGTATCTGGGAAAATGGCTGTAACTTATGGTCACTTAGAAGCTGGTGCTGCAGCTCTCATTCTATACAGATGTTCATCTTCTATCCTGATATTCCCACATTTTCCTTGTCTCATTTGTTCCAGAGGTTTATAACAAATACACCATTTGAAACTACTCTTCCTTAAAAAAATTTCTAATTTGCTATTGAAAATACCATTCATTGGCTCAGACCAAGTGAGGGGTATCATGGCTTAAGCTGGTAGCTGAATTCAACAACACTGATAAGCACCACCTACCGTCACTTCTCAAAATTTACCATAGTCTGGCTGCTTATCAGACAGTGAGTGAATCTCAAACTTGGTGATCTCCTTTTGCCTCAATGGCCTTATATTGAGAATAATAGTGCAGTTTGTTATGTGCCAGTGAGCTAGACAGTGCTAGGAACTTTGCATCTACTATAATTTCTAATATAAATATGCTATTGTTTGTTTTTCTGATGAAGATACTGCAGCTCAGAGAGGTGAAGTAATTTTCTTGGGTTAACAATTATGAAAGAGGAGCACTAGAATTAAAAAAAAAATTAATCCTCACCCAAGGATATTTTTTCCCATTTATTTCTAGAGAGAATGGAAGGGAGGGGAGAGGAGGAGAGAAAGATGGAAGGGAGAAAGACACAGAGAGAAACATCGATGTGAGAGAGACACATCTATTGGTTGCCTCCCTCACATATCCCTGCAACCAAGGTACAAACCCTTGACGGGGATTCAAACTCATGGCCCTTTGCTACTTGAGCTGACACTCTAACTATTGAGCAACTATGTAGGATAGGAACACTGGAGTTCAACACTGTCTGACACTGTCTACTCAACTATGCTTTTCTGTTGGAGGTTTACTTTTGGTCCAACTGATCCTTCACTCAAAACATATTAAAGATGATGCTGATGGAAAAGAGTACAAAAGGCTGCTTTCACTCATTTTCTTTAAAATAAAATATTAAGTTTTTCTTCATTTAAAAGAAGTATGTTTTGTTCCATGAGATGTTTATGGAACAAACAAGAAACAAGTTAGCGTGGGTTTAAGTGAGATAAGCAATATGGAAACACTCTAAATTGTGGACATTTAACAGTTATTAGTATAATTCAATTCAGATTTCTGTTTGAAGTGTTTTGTTGCTTATCAAAGGCTCAGAACCCCAGGTGACTTTTCAGTTCTGAGAGATTCATACTTACCGAGTGAAATCAATAGGGAGCAAAACTAGGAGTTAATTTATGCAAGTGTCTTAACCTTTAGGAGGTTTATAGGACTATCTCTAACTTTAAAACAGTGATTCTCAAACTGAGGTAGTTTCACTCCCAGGGAACATTTGACAACAGCCAGAGTCACTTTTGACCATGACTAGTGAGCAGGTGTATAATACCACTGGCATCTGGTGGGTGGAGGCCAGGGATTCTGTTCCACACCCTACAATGCACAGGGCAGCCTCCTCAACCAACTTCAATAGTGCCAAGGCTGCCAGAGCTGCTCCCAGACACACCAGTAAATGGGTGACTTTTGTTTTGTCGTTCTCTGTAACCTTCCCCTGTTGTAGATATTCTGCCACATCTATGGTTGCCTCCCTCACATATCCCTCCAACCAAGGTACAAACCCTTGATGGGGATTCAAACTTGTGACCCTTTGGTACTTGAGCTGACACTCTAACTACTGAGCAACTGTGTAGGGATACAAGACACGTAGGGATAATGAAGACATACTTCCTGTCCTCAAAGGACTTCAACTCCCCTCTGCTGTTTGTGGCTGGCATACTGAATGAGAAATATTTGTTTTCCAATGATGCTTGCTTATTTATGCATGACTGTCATGTCTTTAATATTTCATTGCTTTTATTCATTATTCTTCCTTGAAACATTGAGATGCTCCCCCATGTAGATCATCTGGCCTGAGCAGAAGTGGGTTGCTTATCCATTTCCCCAATCTGACTACAATGACAGTATCTAATTATGTGAACATTAGATTGTTTGTGTGTGTGGACAATTCATAGCATTGGCCAAGCAATGATCCGTGTCAGTTGTGACAGTAATGAAAATATCAAACTCATTGTTCCATGAGCCTTTTCTTTCTCCTTATTAATTATCAAGGCACAGGCTGAATCTCCAGACACCCTTCCCAAATGTTTCAACCAAGCACAAGTGTGTTCAAGTGTATCTGCACTCTGATTGGCTGCACAGTTCTGGTTTCCAGATGTTTGCAGTAGAAAAGTGAGCTGGGCTAGAACCACTGAATATCAGAACTGGACTGGGGCACACTGCTTATGACTTACTTTACCTACAACACAGTTGAGGTTAAGAGAAGTCCTACCCGCACCCAAAGACTCAGCGTGTGGTGGGGAAACCAAGATTAGAGCCCTGGTCCAGAGCTCTGCACAAAACCACTCCATAAAACTACATGCAATAAAACAATATACAATAAAACCACTTCGAACCCTGTGAGGTATACTACAGAATGTTTTAGCACATGTACCACTGAATCCTTCTAATAATCCTGAGCCCAGGATAGATGAGAATATCAAGACTCATAGAAATAAAATGACGTGTGCAGAGGCACAAAACTAGTAAATAATAAAGCTGCAATCCACTACCCAGTCCTGAGCCTCCTGCTGGCCATCATCTTTTCTCTCTGACTAGCCTAGGCTTTGAGTCCTAATCTGGCTTCAGCCATACCAGTTGTAGGCGGCCTTAGGTTGCTTTATCTCTGTCCTAACTTTTCCTGATCTGAACTTTCTAATTTTTTATCCTTGTATCTAAAATTACTTAATTGATATATACCATTCATTTTTATTTTAATGAACCATACAAAGACTATGTGTCATTATTGGGATATATACAAGTGAGTAAATGAATGAATAAAAAAATGAATGAGGGAGCAAATGAACAGAAACCTAAGAGGCAGAGTGACATGGCAAAAAATCAACAGGTTTATATTCAATTCTACCACTTTGTCTATTCTCTTTGAATCTCACTTTCATTATCTGTCAAATAGGTCTAATTCAACTTGTCATAAGCATTGTTCTGAGCATAAAAATAATAAATGTAAAGCATGTGGGGAGGTATGGATGTTATAATTGGTACCTAATAATTGGCATTTATTATTATTAGTAGTAAGAGTAACATAAACAAAGAGCCCTATTGAATATTAGAGGCCCGATTTGTGCATGGGTAAGGTCCCTAGGCCTGGCCAGCGATTAGGGCTGATTGGTGCCTTCTGACTGCTGGCCAGGGGCTCTCTTCCCCAGCTGCTGGCTGCTGGTAGCCAGGGCCTCCCTTCATTCCACGCCACACCCTGGTGGTCAGTGCATGTAATAGCGGGTGATAGGTTTCCTGGTTGAACTCCTGTGGGGATAATTTGCATATTACACTTTTATATATAGACAACTATGATGAGTTCTCTATCCCAGATACAAGGCATCACTCACATTGGGTTTAGGAAGGGCACTCACGTGAGTTGGTTGATGGTGTGGTAGAAGTCACAGGGGTCAAATTCAATTGGGAGATGTCAAAGTCATCACAGTCATCTGTATCCTGTGCCATCCCAACTTTGCTGAAGTAACTGGAGAAGGCCTCTGAGGTACAGGTGAGGGAGGGTTGGTCGGGTTTGCGGGAGGGCACGGGTGGAGGCTGGGCCATCTGGAAATCCTTAAACATTTCTTTCCCCATTTTCTGTCTGGGCTTGTCGGTCTGTGGACTTGACCTGGCGGAGTCACCCGTGGCTGGGACAGTTGCAAGGGGAGTTAGGGAACCTTGAAACATGGCGGCTGGCAAAGGCATAACAGTTTGTGTGGGCATGAAGGCGGCTGGCGGAAATTGCCCAGCCACAGCTGGCCAGGGCTGCTGAGTGGCAGGGAAGAGACCCGGCTGGCCCCATGCGATGGGCTGAGCCCCTGGCATCACCTGAGCAACTGGTGGCTGAGCATTCATGGCAATCTGCTGTTGGACGAGGGGCTGCTGGCCCCAGAAGGATGGGAGGACAGCGCCCATGGCAACGTAACCTGTAAGGTGGAAAAGGAGAGTCAGTCATCCTGGGAAGGAATGATTCCTGGAGTCAGGTGACTGGCAAAAAGGTACTGAGCAAACCCCTAAAGTGTCCAGCTGTGTGCAAGGGACTGGGGATGCAAGGATGACTAAGACAGAAGTTCCTGCTCTCATGGAACCTGCTTGCCAGAGCAGTGGTCATGGGAAACCTCTCTGAGGAGATCACTCATAAGTAGAAACTATTATAGACTGCGGTGAGAGAGCAAGCCAGGCATTATCTGGAGGCGAGAACAATACTACCACGGGTGTTATAGGCTTCTGACATCACATTATAGGCTTCTGACATCACATAGCCTCCACAGTCATTGTGTTTCAGTGGCAAGGGCAGAGAATTAGGAACCAGGCATGGCTGGGTTTGAATCTTGCCTGCCTTTTTGCTAAACCCAGGGCCTTCTCACCTGCTGGTATGCTTTCTATAAATTTCATTTAACAATAACACAAGTGATGGGAAGAGAGCACTGAATCTGACTGTGGAGAGCTGCCCATGGATCATTCTGTTCTCCCTCATTTTCCAGAAACCCGGTGCCCATCTTGTGAATGGATGCAAGGCTTCCCCAGCATATATTTTGCTTTGTTTCCTTCCCACCCTCCTCAGTGCCACCAGAGAACTGCTCTAAAATACAAATGTAGTACTTCATTTTATTGAGTATCAGGCTCAAATGCCTCAGCTTGCCTAATGAGCCTTTGCGGGGCAGGGGGGGGGGGGGAGGGCAGTCCTCTCTCCAGCACTTCACCCCCATTTTCAAATCTTTTTCCCACTGACACCTTCTTCTCCAGCCAATAGAGACAACACTCAACTTGCTCTCTCTCGCCTCTACCGGTCCATTTGCCTTTAGAAAGCATCTCCTACTTCTTTGTGTGTCTACCCCTTATCTGCTGTTTGAAACTCAGTTTAGCACCACCCCCGCTGGACAGCTTACCTGACTTCTAGGCTCACTGGTTCTCCTTCTCTGAGCTCCCATATCCCTCGTGTTCATCTCTCATGGCACTTGCCATAAGCTTTGTAATTGCCTGCTTATTCTGTCTTCCCTCATTAGACTAGAAACCACCTGCTAGCAGAAACACTTTATTCTCTCTCCCCACCCCTTGCATTCAGCACAGTTTGGGGCACAAATGGGCTGCTTCATAAATGCTTGAGCTGGGGAAAGGCTCTCTATAAAGGTGAGTGAGTCACAGTAGAATGAATGCCTCACTGCATCCTTCCAGGGATGCAACTAGACTCCAAGACCTGTAAGTGCTGTGATCTCTGGTGAATGGTGAATCTACTATTGGTGGCAGGACTTTTTTTTTTCCCCTAATCATTTTTTTTTTCTACAAGGAACCAACAGATGGACTTTTCTGGAGAGAGCTATTAGCATGTCTCTGTGGCTTCTTGCCATCTGTTTCAGACTAAAATACAATATTCAACAGGAAAAAAGGCAGCACAGGGTAACTGGGGATCTTGTTGGAGAACGTGCAGGTCTCACTTGCTTTTCCTGTTGGGGGAAGTGCCTGCAGCCTGAGCTCCTCCTAGACTGAATCCTAAGTGCTCTGGCCACACAGCATTGCACATTCCTGATGGGGACACCTCAGTGGCAGGCCTGCAGTAGCCTCGGACACAGGGAGCCACTTGGCAGCTGCCACTACAGCCACATAACAGCTTAGACTGTTTACTCATTAACGTTTCACAGTGGAGAGAGGAGGTGCCAAGGAGCATCTGTTTATGCCACTGAATTGGGATCAATCATAAACCTCCTTGCTGGGAAGTGAAGAGAAACACCTGCATCACTGCCTTGCAGTGAGGTTTTTAAAAAGTATTGAAAATAGCAATTTATAACCAGATGCTGGTATATACTGGAAATTCAGTCATTATTTTCAAAAAAGAAAAAAAATCAGACTAAAATGTAAGTAAAACACTGAAAACCAAGGGACTATCCAATATATACAGAACTTATATAGTGTCTCTTATCTTCATTATTTCATTTGTCTGACTGATTAATTCAGTCATTCATTCATAAATATGTCTATGGGGTGCCAGCACTGTTTTAGACTGGAGATTCAATGAATAACAAAACAGTTAAAAGCAATCCTGACCCTCATGGAGCTTACATTTTTAGAGAAATTACAGCTTCAGGAGGGAGGTTTGACACAGCTATATAGGGTGCAGGTAGCAGAGCAGGGCTCCTGCTGAACAGGTAGCAAGCATCAGGTGAGTGCTTTCTTATGGAAATATTGCCACGCACTGCTTTAAATGTTTTACTACATTTATTAACTTGTGCAATCCTCAGAACAGCCCCACGAGGGGAAATCTTTATTCCCATTTTACAGATACGTTTCTAAGGCTCAGAAGAGATGGAGCTGAGTATTACACAGCTGGTTAGTGGTGGGGTCTCACATTCTCCAGGCCCCCAGGTTCCCTGGGCCAGCTCTTCCATGAACAGTCAGGAGGCCAAAAACTTAAGCTTTATTAGATGCATTTTAAAAAAAAATTCCAAGAAGATAACAGGTAATAATATAGGTATGACAAGACATATTTTCTTTTATCGTAGAAATCAGAGTAATAATAATAGTAACAGAATTTTCTACATGAAGCATCTACAAAATGCCAGCCTTTTTCAAGGTACTTAACTTTTCACTTAATCCTCATGATATTGTTTCAAGGTAACTATTATTTTCAGTTCAGTTAAAAAGATGAAGAAACTCTGGCTTTGACAGGTGAAGTAATTTTCCTAAAGCTTATAAATAAATGGCAGAGCCAGGATTCATACCAAGTTCATTGGCGGCAAACGCCTCCCACAGCCTGTCCGTTGTACCACATGACACCACTCCACTATCCCATCCACCTGTCACTGGCACAACTGACAATAGGGACAGGTGGACAGAAATGCAATAGCTGCAGAGATTTCTAAGGCCAGCTAAGAAAGAAAAAAGGCAAGTCATTTGACAACTGAAGCCTAGTTTTGTTCCTCACTGTATTTTAAGTAAGAAAGTAAAAATATGCTAATTAAAATTAATTTTAGACTTATGTTCTAAAATTTGGAAGCTTGGAACAACCTACTCACTTTTTTTTTTTTTTTAGTAGCTGTATAAACCAAACCTGGATGTCACAGACTTGGGAATAGGTCCCGTGTAGTGCTACCTGGCACGGCCAGGTTATCAGTGCTTTTCATCAAATATTAGGGCTGGAAGACATGCACAATTGCACACTCCTACCCTCTCACTTATAGGGAGGGGAACAGATACTGAGGGGCTCATCATCCCTCCTCTGCCTGGAGTCCTCCTAACCCTGATACCTGCTTGCCTCTCTCCCTTGCCACTCCCAGTCTGCTCATGTCTCTTCTTAGTATGAGCCCCTCCTGATTACAATCTCTATTCACACCTACCCTTCACCTGCTTCAAAGCCCCCCTTCCCTCTGCTCTACATTTTCTCTTGTCCATACCACTTATCACTGTCTCACATGTTATTTCTAGATTGTTCTTTATCTCCCTGCTAGGAAGTAAGCTCTCTGTAGGTAGGAGTCTGTGTGTGTTGTATTCTCAGACGCACCTCAGGCGCCTAGAACAGAACCTGGAACACAGTGGGCCCTCAATCATTAACTGTGGGACAAATATGCCTGGGGATTAGAGAGTTTAGTGCCTGGGGTTCCCATCACCTGTCCAGGGTATCTTCATGAATGATACAGCATGGGGATTCTGAACAAAGGGCTTGCAGCCAGGAATGTGGTGCATTTCTGATGGAAACTGCTTCTCTTATTTAAAAATTACACACAAGGAAATTTAAAGATCCTTTTTGGGTAAGGAAAACTATTCCTCACCACTATCCTGCTTTAAAGATGGATAACATATCCAATTGGGAAACATAGCAGCTGAATAAAGTCCTAGGTTAGAATTGCATCTTCTAAACTGTAAGCAGATCCAGTGGCTACTGACCTTCGCTGCTCCTCAAAGTTCATGGTGATTCCTGCGCTAATGAGGAGTAAGTGTGACTATTTCAGAACAGGCTCTACATTTTTCATTCACTGTGAATAACAATGAGGTTTATATTTGGTGGCAATAATTTGTTTCTAACACTGTGTAATTAAATGTAATTATTTATAGAAAAAATGCAAGAAGATTTGTATTCTAGAATAGTTAAACTCCACTTCCTATTTATAAGACTACAGTAGAAAAAGAAAGATGAAGCTATGGATTTCAAATATGTAGTTAATGAAAGCGAAAATGTCTAAGTCTCCTCCACATGCAAGAAGCAGAACTAGTCCCATCTTTGGCTCTGTCCAAGCCATGTGGACTGGCCGCATAGAGTGCCTGATGCCATCCAAATAAGATGTCTGAGCTCCCACGATTTGTAACTCACCTTTAATGCTGTTGCTATAGATTTTTACCCTGTTGTAAAAGTAGTCTATACTTTTTATAAAAGAATATTTGGAAAAGAGAACAAACACTTTCTGAATCAGTGGTCACCAACCTTTCGGACCTCAGGGACCACCAGTGGTCTGCAGACCACCAGTTGGCAACTCCTGTTCTAAATCACTAATATCCTGATCCTCCTCCCAATTCACCTTTAAGTAGTTTGCTCTGTCCCTTACGTTTCCTGTATGGGGTCCCTCGTCTTCCTGAATTTCCAACAAACGAGGAGGCAGATCACTGTCCATCAGATCTCAAGAGGTCTTTGGAGAACAGACTCACCCACTCCCCTTTGCCACCGCTTTTCCTCTGGCTCAGACGGGCAGGAAGAAATGGACTTGCGCTGATCTGCATGCCTGTGTGTGCACCAGGCTCCCTAAAATTAACTACCTGAGTAACATGGAATCTTGACCATTCCATGCAAAGGCTATCACCGTAGTTCAGCCAGCAGCATACCAGACCTCTGCGAAAGGCGCCACCGCACCCACCACCCCATGGCAGCTTCTCGGTGTCACATGAAGAGTTACAACGAAAGAACGAACGGTGGTTCCACAGGTGTTCCAGCACATCTGGCAGCTGGTCCACCTTTTTCTACAAAGGAAAGGAAGCAGGTGGAAGGAAGAAGGCTTACCTGAGGGTACAGCAGCAGTGCCGAAAGGTACAGAACCAAACATGTCTGCACTCGCTGGAAGTGTCTGAGATGAAGATGGGATGAAGGCATCACCTGGAGTTGCAGGAGTCTGTCAGAAAGAGGGGGAGGAAGCATGAGGCTCCTGGGAGACTCGGCTCAACGATCATCCAGAATGGGAGGCAGCTGGTGCAGGAGTGTTTGTGTGTGTGTGTGTGTGTGTGTGTGTGTGTGTGTGTGTGTGTGTGTGTCTGTGTGTGTGTAGTTACGGAGGTAGGAGGGGGATGTTGCAAAAACCAGCCAGGTTCTAGCCACTTAGGTGGTATGCAACCCCACTAACGGGTTACATAGATTATCTGTAAAATGGGCAAAGTGATACCTACTCCCAGAGGGACTGTGAAGATTAACTGAGGTCATGCATTCAAATCACTCAGCACCATGCTGAGGCATATAGTAGGTGCTCAGCAAACAAAGGCCAGGATGGTGACTATTTAGTTTGAGCCCCTACCCCTTAGAGGTGTTTTCAGGCCTTCAGATTTTTCCATAATGCCTGGCTTTCCTCCTTTAAATGTGGTCAATCCAAACTGACATACTCCACTCAGAATCTACTACTGCACACCCAGCTCAGGGCTTGTCACTGAAAACACAGTCAGTAAATAGTTGTGGACGGGAATGAACAAATAAAGTTTAGGAACTGGAGCAGAGGTCCTTGTATCTCCTGGTGCCTCCCTGAATCTTGCCTGAATATTCACTTGCAAGAAGTAAAGATTTTTAAGATAATTTTAAAAAAAATGCCTGAGCTGTAAACTGCACAGTGTCTGGCCATGCTGGGATTCCAAGAATGTCTGTGTGTGAACTGTTGGGGAAGGTGAAGGGCACATAATTAAGACCACCAGTATGCAGTTTCTTTTTAAAGGTCTTCGTCTATTTACAGAGGCCCTTTGCCTAAAGTGTATATCTTCAATGACGTAACATTCATATCACCCCTCCCCCCACCCCCTATACACACACTGGGGATAGTCTGGGAAAAGCAATTAATCCTGAAACCATGGTGATGGCGATTAGACAAGGCCATTTAGACAAACAGCTTATGAAAAGAAGGGCATTGTTCTGAGGATAATTAAATACCCATTTGGACTGCACTTGTGTTCAGGGCCAGGAACATAGCCATGAGATGCTGCAATAAGCACTTTTAAACACAATCAACATCATTCCCTTTTCCCTATGTGACCCTGGGTGAGTCACATGCCCTCTCTGGGCCTCAGTCTGCTCATCTGTAAAATGAAGGGAATAAGGTTAGAAGATCCCTTCAGGCCTCTCTAGCTCCATAGCCCACGGTTCTGAGATTCCCAGTGCACAGGACACAGCTGTTTTGCCCAGGGATGGAGCAGGAATGAGACTTGCTAGAGCTGCCCGGCTTCCCAGCTTCCCTGGAGACAGGAGCTGCTGTCCTTGCCTTCATGGATGCTCTGGGCATCAGGTGTTGGGGGCAGAACAGCTGTGTCTAGAGTCCCTGGCGGCAGCTGTGGGCAGCAGGGTCTTGTGCCATCTGTCCTCAGTGGTGAAGTTATAGCCTTTTCTCTGTGAGCTGCATCTCACCATTGAACCATGGCACCATCCCTAGGTTTGCACAACTGGCAATGCCCAGGGGAGCAGCCCCTAGCCAGCAGCTTCAGTTGGTGCAGCTGTGCTGACTGCTCCCCACCCACCTGGGGAGTGGAGAGTGGGGGGAGGAGCTGAACAGGCCATCTATCTGGCTCTGTTGTTTGCAGCATCTGCAGGGTAGTTTTTGAATGCACCCCTCTGTCTGGGTTTATATTTGGTTTTGGTTTTAATACCCTTTTTTCTCCTTTTAATTTTCAAATGAGGGCTTCCTGAAACCTCTATCTCCCTGCCAGCAATGGCTGACTGAGGTACCTGCTGAACCTGGAACTGGGAATCCAAAGCTTTATGAGAAGCTCAGTAAAGCCAGGAAGGTTGGAGGGAGAGAGGAGAGAAAAAGGAGAGAGAGCCCTAACTGGTTTCGCTCAGTGGATAGAGCTTCGGCCTGTGGATTGAAGGGTCCTAGGTTTAATTCTGGTCAAGGGTATGAACCTTTGTTGTGGGCACATCCCCAGTGAAGGGTGTGCAGAAGGCAGCTGATTGATGTTTCCCTCTCATCGATGCTTCTAACTCTCTATCCCTCGCCCTTCCTCTCTGTAAAAAATAAAAATAAATAAATAAATAAATAAATAAATAAATAAATAAAATCTATTTAAAATAAAAGAAGAGAGAGAGAGAGAAAGAAAGAGAGAGAGAAAGAGAGAGAGAGAAAGAAAGAGAGAGAGAGAGAGAAGAGAGAGAGAGAGAGAGAGAGAGAGAGAGAGAGAGAGAGAGAGAGAGAAAGAAAGAGAGAGAGATAGATCAGGAAAAAAAGAAGAGAAGGAAAAGAGGAAAGGGTGAGGAGAAGATGTGCCCTTTACTGGGCTGACCACCTGGCCGTGTGGGCCAGGTAGGTGCTGTCAGATGCAGCATCACATTGCTGTCTTGTTGAGTTTCTTGCCCTATTCCCAGCTAGGTCTGCAGGCTGCGGCCACATCCCATTCATTATTCCACTGCCCAGCAGAATAGCAAGTCCCCAGGGAACCTGTAATTGCTAATGCATGGATGTATCTGTTCCTCAAAACAGAAGCCTGAATCATAATTCCTTTTAAGAGATAGCCTAGGAAATTGACATTTAGAATCCCTAGTTATTTTGCCCAGAGCACATAGCTTGAAGGAGCCAGAGCTGACACCCACCAGCATGCCTCTGTTACAAAGCGCACATGCTTTTCCGGGGGAGGCTGAAGAAGGGAGAGGCAGGGATGCCGGGCACAGAGGGCAGTGCATACTTACGGGGGGAGAGGTTATATCAGGAGGGGTGGACATGTCCCCAAAAAGTTCTAATTGGGTCACAGCCTGCAAAGACATAAAAGATAATGATGTCACCGGGAGGAATACTGCTGCCGCAGGGGCACTGCTGGAAACAGCATCCTAGGAGGACGAGTATTTCTCTTTCTCAACATCCCTACATAAACGATAAGCCCAGTTGGTCATTGTCACACCTCATGACCCTAAAGACAGCACCTGGGATGCGGCCAGAATCAATTCTTGCTTCAAGGTGTCTGACTGTTGATCTGGACTCAGTCCAGGAGATCGCTTTGGCCGCCTCCCATAAGCAATACTAGGACCCTTTTCACCTATTTACCACGGATGCCAGTGCTGTCTCTTTTCCAGGAAATAATGCAAGAAGGCAGTCCCATCACTGGCTTTTCTTGCATGCATGTGTTCATGCATATACTTAGCCCCTCAAACACTAAGTATAGTAAGACAGACTACATGGCCACATCTGCTCGCGTGCTCCCAACAAGAGTGACCCTGAGAGGAAGGCATCATCATTCCCATTTCTACAGATAAGTAAACTGAGCCTCACAGAGGCTAATGCTTGAGTTTTCTCCACACAGAGTATGCATTCAGATAACAGTCCCTGAAGAAGTGTGTCTTGAGATAAAAAATACTGTTGGAGGAAAAGAAATCATGGTATTTAATACCAGGAAGGGCATCAAAAACAACCCAGTGGATACACTATTAATCACCCATGGGGACTCCATGGTTGAATATACCATGTCATCTACATTCCTCACCCATCACCCAGGAGTGTCTGAGTGATGCCAGTCAGTAGCTGTGGAAGGAACCCTTTACGTTACACTTAGAAATGAATCTGCAGACTCTTCCAGCTGCAGCAACCGTGGGGAGTCCTTGGCAAGGATCCCCGTGGCCTGACTTAAAGTACATAATCATATCCTTTGTGCAAACCTGCCCACTGAGGGAAAAACACTGCTTCCCTTTGGATTTTACAACTCTCCTTGGGGGGACCTAAAACCACCTAAAACCATTCAATAGAAAGGGCAGAGAGCATTTGCCTGCTTGGCATATAGGGCCCCTGCACCTGAATTCCTACCTCTCTCTACAACTCAGCACAAAGAAGGGAATGCTCTCTCCTACCAACAGGTGTGGGGGGGGGAGGGCTCTGGCGGCTGGTCAAGGTGCCTACCTGGGCTTATGTTTGGGTTCTACCACCTCCGATCTCTGACACTCCTCAGAGCTAATTCCCTCACTTTGGCAATGGGGATGGTAATATCTCCTTTGCAGATTTATTGACAATACTGATAGAAGGACTTCCTTTGGAGTTGGGCGAAGCTCCGTTTAACAGGCACAAAAGGCTCTTTTGACTGAAAGCAGCTTAGCCTGGCTAACTCACATTCAACTCTTCCCTTTAAGCTTTCAGATGAGCAGTAGTGCCTGGCATAAAGTAGGGCCCTGTGCATACTGATTTCCTTCCCAACCATGCAATGCTTTTTCTGTTCCTTACACATGGGACATGCAGTAGGTGGTGGGCACTGTGCTAGTTGCTGGGAACAGAATAATGAGAACTGTGAAGTTTCTGCTTGCAGGGAGCTTATAGTCTGATGGGACAACCCAGAGACAGAGCTAATTTTAAGTTGTTGTGGCAGGAATGGCAACAGATGTCTCTATGGGCCAGCCTAGAAGGGACCAGACAACTTTTGGCAAAGAAGCTCAATGAGGGTTTTCTTGAAGAAACAGCCCTGATCTGAGATCTGAAGAAGAGGAGCAGTCAGCCAGGCAACCAGGATGAGGAGGGACCATCTAGGCAGATGGAAATACCAGAGCAAGAGGGATAGCTGCCCCAGGCAGTCTAGCATTTTGGTTGAACCAGTGAGGGTGGAGAGAGAAACAGGAGAGGAGACCAGCTAAGGGGAAGGGCCCAGCTCAGGGTGGACTCAGCGCATTTCAGTGTTTTCTACCCACTCTCTACCTACCTGATTCTCTCCCAAAGGATTAAGATCCAACGTAGTGAGATGGTAACAGGGTAGCCAGCATGCTGGGTGCTCTCCCAAGTCTGGATGGACCCTAAATACTCCTTGTTTCCTTAGCTTGCTTCCATTATTTTACTTTATTTGGTGAAACTATGTCAATCCTTTAGACTTTCTCCCAAATTCACAGGAATAATAATTCTATTTAACTCAAATGAAGCTTCTGGGCTTCCTACAATTGAAACCCAGTGCCTTTAAAATGGCCCCCACCATTTTCACTGGTAGGAAAATATTAAAATAAAGATAATAATTAAGTTTTACAATTTACATTTCAAATGTGTACTCTGCTGCTAATATCATTCATATAATTCACTGGCTCATTTTATCCTTAAACACAACTTTTATTTTATTTTGTTTAGTTTTTAAAGATGAAACACAACTTTTAAAATAACCCTGATTCTTGAGATGTAGATTTCCCCCTGCCTGATGGTTTTTCACTCAAGGACTGAACAAAAACAACATGAAGAGGCATAACACATAGATTATTATTTCATTCCATTGAACTTGCTGCTTAAATGGAACCTTGAGTTAACTTAAATTTTATATAAAAATTTATATGCCATATAATTAAAAATAACTCTAATGGCCATATGTGATTGAGAATCTGGAGTAACCCCAGACCTTTTATTTGTAACCTAACAAGCCACGTTCCTTCGAATAAGAGGGTCATAATGAATCATTTAAGGTTCTGAAGAGAATAAAACTAACCGTCCACATTTGTAAAACATTGTATAGTTTACAATACACTTTGTAATATTGTAAACAAAGTGTATTGTAAACGTGTTTGATGCTCACCAAGCCCCATGACATAGGCAGCACAGGTGTCTCTCATTGTCTGGATTTTGCAGATGAGCTAACTGAGACCAAGAGGTTAAGTGACTTGTCTCTGACCAGTGAGCTAATGGGGCTGGGCTTGACCCGCAGCCTGAGAAGCATCTCATTTGTCTGTCACTTTACGGAGCCTTGGTTACCTTCCTACCTGTGGATGTCCATACTCTCTAACGGGCAGCCGAGCTCCTAAAAGGTCTGCCACAAGTCACATCCATCTAAAGATGTCACCTAGAAGGCCAGCTCAAGGTGCCTCCTTGCCTTTCCATTACTAGCACTTTGGACATATTCAGGCGAAGAAACATGGCAGTTGTCAGCAGATTCTGCCCCTTCTTTAGGCCTGGCATTGTCCAGGTTAAGAAGAGTGACACCAAAAGATGCCAAGGCCAGAGATGGAGAGGATGGGTAGCTTGGGTGTTGATGGGGCAGCCCATCAATGTTCTTTGATACAAGTGATATTTTTCACAAAAGTATCTTCAGTGTTACACAGCCGCTGTTCCAAGATTAGCCTCCAGGTCCTTCATTCAACTAGACTTTGGCAACTAGACTCCTAGCCCCTCCTACAGAGGAATTCTGAAGGCACCACTGCTGAAGGCCGAGATGGCCTTGACTGACCCCAAATCACATTCTCACAGGTCCACTACCTATGTTTGGCATCAGAAGGGCCTTCATTTAGGAAAAGCATGGTGCCCATACTGTACATCAGCTACTGTACCAAGAGCAGGGGATACAGGGAAGAATGAGGCACGATCCTGCTCCTACTCTCATGAGTTGGCTACCTGAAGGAAAGGCAGATACACATACACAATCAGAGCAGTGCCATGGAGCCCAGAAGCACAAGGGCAATAAAAGGAAAGGCCACCTCAGGGCCTTTGCACATACTTTTCCTCCTACCTAGAATACCCATTCCTTCCCCCATTGCTTGTCCAGCCATCATCCTTCAGGAGACAAATTAGAGGACTTCCTCCCCCCCCCCCCCGGGAAATGTCTCCTAACTCAGTTTTCTCCCCATGACACTACTCAGAACAGCTTGTGTGATACTTTTTTTCAGTGGTCTCAACCTTGGATGCACACCCAAATCACCAGGGGGAAATACTGATGCCTTGTACACACCCCAGGAGACTCTGACTTGGCTGGTTTGGAGTACAGCCTAGAACATAAAACTTTAAAAGCTCTCCTCGTGACTCTATTTTTAAAAAAATATATTTTATTGATTTTTTTACAGAGAGGAAGGGAGAGAGATAGAGAGCTAGAAACGTCGATGAGAGAGAAACATCGACCAGCTGCCTCCTGCACACCCCCTACTGGGGATGTGCCCGCAACATACATGCCCTTGACTGGAATAGAACCTGGGACCCCTCAGTCCACAGACCGACGCTCTACCGCTGAGCCAAACCGATTTCGGCTCGTGACTCTATTTTACAGCCAAGGTCAAAAACGCCTAGAAGCCTCCCAAGCACCGTCAGGGGTGATCATATTCACCAGTCTATATATCAGCCAAGCTATATAAATATTGGTTGTAAACCAGTACATCTACTGCAGGATATGCTGCCTGAAGAACAGTCATGTGTGTCTTTTATTCCCAATGGGGCACTTAGCACAGGCTATTTCTGTGTTTGAATACCTACTACACTGTCACATCACCTACACTGCCCTAGACTACCCTACCTTACCTTACTCTTTCCTCTCCTATCTTCCCCACCCACCCTACCTTATTTTATCCTATGCTATGAAGTGTTGCACTGTGTTGTACTATGAGCATCTTCCTCTCCACATCTCCAGCTACTTATCAGAACGGGACCTGTTAGGAGCTCAAAAAATATTTGTTGAATGAAATGGAGTATGAAATGAATGAAATTAAATATTACTTCCTGTCCAATATACCCTCTTTCACACACACACATGTGCATGTGCACACACACATGCACACATGTGCACACGCATACACAGTTATTATTGGACCCTATTGCAGGCCTGCCAGGTATCTTCCTGTGAGCACCAGAACAGAGCTGAGCCGAGCCCCTGCTTCTGATGCAGGCTGGGTGAAGATGCTATGGGATGCATGTCAGTGACCGGAACAGTCCTCACTTAAGAGCCTGGAGGCCTTACCTTCCTTGCGTCAAGAATCTCATCAATGATGGCGGGCAGGTTTCTATTCTGTAAGCACAGGGCATGGCTTATGAGCATGAAATGAATGATGGGGCAATGACATGAAACAGCTAATAGACAGGGCCCTCGCACTCTTACCGGGGTGGCGGCGGCAAAGCGTTCTTCAAAATCCTCCATTGGATGGCCGTTCTGCAAGTGGAAGGGACGATGAATGAGGATGAAGTGAATGACACACAAATGACATGGATTAATGTGTTAGATAAAGATGGTATTTATGGTTTATGCTCCCATGGTCTCTGTGGCAGGAGCTGAGGCCAACATTCTGTGAAAACCCTGGGAATGCTTTCCCAGCATAAGAAGTTGATCAAATAGGGACCTGATGAGGAAATACAGCGGTGGTTCAAAGTTCATCTTTCTGAAATTATAGGCATTACCCAGCCAGTCTCAACTGATAAGAGCATGTTTACCCTTGAGATTTTTGTTTTAAAAGACAAAAATGTTATCTGCTTTAGCAAACCTAAGTCTTTAGAGCAGCATGTAAACAGCTGGTTTTCTAAGTGCCTTTGTGCCCACTGTCCCTTCTACTTGAAATGCTCTTCCTTTCACCCCTGCATGTTCAGAGCTCATCCCGTTTCTCAACCCCTGCTTTAAGGGCCATCTCTTCCATGAAGCCATCCCTGACTTCTTTTTTTTTTTTTTTTTTTAATATATTTTATTGATTTTTTCAGAGAGGAGGAGAGAGAAATAGAGAGCTAGAAACATCGATGAGAGAGAAACATCAACCAGCTGCATCTTGCACACTCCCGACCGGGAATGTGCCCGCAACCAATGTACATGCCCTTGACCAGAATCGAACCTGGGACCTTTCAGTCCGCAGACCAAAGCTCTACCACTGAGCCAAACTGGTTTCGGCAGTCCCTGACTTCTGAGTTGAAACTCCTCCTCTGAGAATAACCGCACATCATCTGTGCCGACCCCATGGTGAGCTTCCTGAAGCAGGGACATGCTGCATTTACTTCTGAATCCCCAGAGCTAACAGAGGGCCTGGCACACAGCAATGAATGAATGCGTGTTTTATAAGCACCTGGCTGCTGACCAGATCTAACTGTTTTAATTTTTTATTTTGTTGTTTATAACTGTCGAGCATTTCACTAAACTACTCCAAAAATACTGCTGTCTCAGGATCCATTTTGTGTGGCCAAACAGCCTGCAGGGGCCTTAAACTGGCTTCAACCACTGTGGGGAGGCATGTCCTGTGAGGACTCCCGTGTAGGCAGTCTGCCCACTGCCCAGGGCCTTCTTTCTCCTTTGTTACCTCTTAGCTAAGACCCCAAGCCCTGCTGTTCTTGGTGTGAATGGCCCAATCTAGGCTTAGCCCAAGAAATGCAGGCACTTCACCTACAGGCCTAATAAAGGCATGTGCCTTAGGTCCTGCGGCTCTCTCAGGCCAGCCGCCTTGATCTCTCCCCGTGACCCTCCAGAGCCTGTGAATAATAAGCTTCTCTACTTAAATTCTCTGTGGTCTCTGTTGAACTGTGGCTCTCCATCTGATACCCCAGGGCTCAACATAATAAACATATGTAATGCCTCTATAAATAGATATATCACCTTATTTTGGTCTATTAATATATTACGAGCTAATTATTCTTTGGATGCTTTCTAAGCACTATAACATGAATATAAATCTGATACGATTGACATTACAATGAGTTATTATGCACAGCAATAACTATCATTTCCTAATTTTTAGGAGAGCAGGCTATTGGCAATAGAGGAATGGAGAAAACATCACCCAATAACCTCATAATACCCCTATGTCAGAACTCACTCACCGCCTGTGGCAAACGTGACTTTCTGCCACTCAGCCCCAGTGACAAGGCTGCAAAGCAGAGCTGGGGAACCAGCGTGCCCACCACAGAGGGGCCTTGGGACCAACCATCAGCGAATTCCATCATCAACCATCCACTTCCGCCAGGCACTGGCTCCCCAAGCATCAACTGTGGCTAAGAGCAGAGGACGAGCAACCACATAGGATAACCACATACATTATTACTATTATTTGGCCAGCAGTGGGGAGAGATGGGGAGACAACATTAGTTTAAGCGATCCTGTAATCTATGGAGTGGCCTAGAAGGTTAAGGTAATGTCGCTACATCCTTTATGAATTTGCACACTTCGAGGGATTTATGGCACAGTCCCTACCAACTAGCTCTGGGTCATAACTTTTAATAAAAACATTTTTTAGTGTCCAAAATCTCATTACATCTGTCCAATATAAAGAAGCAAATAGCTTCAGAGCATGATGGATGCATTAAATAAATTTGAAAAACAGCCTGTGGTCGAGTCTCATAAACCCCCCACCACCTAATGAAAACGCGTGAGGATAACCGGTGCTGGCACGAGCCCGTCGCTTTCCTGGTGACAGAGAGATGGGCTTTGGTGATCTGGGGAGCTGGGGTGTGAGGAGGATATTTCATTCATCTAGATGGAGCTGGAGACCAAATGCATGGGAGCCGTTGGCTCTCTCTGGAGTCCCACCGACACAGACTGACTCCTGGCTGTGCAGTGTGCTGGCCACTTGACTCTCACAGCCAAATTAGACTCAGTTTTCTCATTTTCCAAGTGGGGATGATAACGATGACATCCTTTCAGAGGATGAACTGAGATGTGGGTGCAAAGTCTTGTTTGGTGTTTGGCACATAGTAGGTGCTCAATAAAGAGTGGTGATTAGTAGTATCTCTTCATTCTGTTTCTTTGGACTAATATTTGCAATGCACAGACACCCAGGGCTTAATGCTAGAAAACTCTTATGATATAATATTTGGGGAAAGAAAGAGGAAGAAGAAACAAATCCCCTGCCAGATGCCCCTGTTTAGAAATTCCCTGCCTGACAGCACAGGCCAGAGCCTGTGTCAAAGGATGCCCAGCACTTCTTGACCTTAGCTCTAAACCTCTCTGTGCATTCTTGACTCCATCTTCCCTCTCTCTCATTTCAGTTCTGGCTGTCCTATTGTCTGACCATCCTCTTCCCATCCATGCACTCTATCCCTGGCTCCTATGGTCCCTTCCTGATTGCCCCTGGCTCAGACATTGCTCAGAGTTCTTTCCTCCCGCTCACAGCAGCCTTGTAATGCCTGGTGCACCACATGCTGTCCTTATACTTTCCCAGCTGCTTCTCATGGGCAGGACCTGGAGCCCATTTGCTAATCTCCCAACACCCCTGGCTCTTGCTTTACCTATAATCACTACTAGAGTTCTAGCTCACTTAGCCCATATAAAAAAGCAAAAGGCTCCAGACATCAAATTTCATTCACAACTTAATCTTCCAGGGAGCATTCAAAGGGAGAGATTCCCCTGTTTTGTTTAAATCCAGTTCTAGCCTGAATCTTCATTAAGACATAAAATAAAGCTCCCTCAGGGAGTTTTATCTTCCCATACTCCCTTATAGAAGCAGTGTGAGCAGTCCCATAACTGAGTAGGGTAACTATCAAGATCAAATTCCTGTTACTCTTGCAGCCAAAATGACAGTGGATAAGGTAGGACTTGGGCTGAAGAAAAAGATGAAAACTGCCACATCAGAACCCTGCAGGGGCTCGCATCCTGGGCTGCACAGTGCAATCCTTTGGGGGAGCTTTTGCAAAACTACCCCTGCCTGAGTCCCACCATCAGAGATTTGGATTCTATTGGTCCGAGGTGGGGTCCTGGCATCTGTAGATTTTTAAAAGCTCCCCAGGTAATACTAATGCGCAGACAGATTTGCTGACCACTGTGCTGGGGAATGGACTCTCTGCAGGAATAATTAGTGAAAATCCCACTGGGAAAACAGAAGGCTTCTTGATTGATTATGTAATTGACTAATTAATTTCTTCAACAACCATTCACCGGGCGCTCTCCACATGCCATGTCCTGGCGAGGCACCGGAGTTGCAAAGATGAGTCATGTCTGGCCCCTGCTCTCCTGCAACTCAGAGTGAGCCAGCATATATCATCATTCTAGCTCAGGGGTGGGTGGGGTGGGACAGGGAGGGCAAACGACTTCTAGATCTCAACTCAGAACTCAGGCCACTGCTGCACAAGGATGAATTCAATTATCCATTTAGAAGGTTTAGGAGAAATGGATGGACTCAAGCGATCTGTAACTGCACCTCTGTGGGTACTCCTAAAGCACAGAGTGATTCCAGGCATTTGAATGCAAGTGCCTTTCCTTGGGATGTGATTTAAGTAGGAAGACACATGCTAATGAAGACTAATCCCCCTGGGGACCTAGGAGTCTATCACCTTTAGCCAAGAGTGAACAGCCTCTTTCCCATGGCTTGGCAGAGAGAGACAGGTAAACCTGCTTTGTAATTGAAGAACCAAGGAGCTGAGGAGTTGAACCTATGATGTTAATGAGTGATTTCCTCCCAGAGCAAAGCTGTGGATTGGGACTTGTGATGATGCAAAGTTCCCTATCTGCACTGTCCCAGGTGGTAGCCAGTGGCTGTACTGTGGCTACTGTGTGGTAAAGCCTTGATCCAAGAGAGGAACTGGTGCCACTTTGAGGACCTGTCCTTATAATGACTAAATACTTGCCTTTCATTACTCAAAGCTGGGCCTCACTTTAGCAGCTAAAGGCCCTCCTGCCCCCAGCTACCATGTTAGGAAGGTCCCAAAGGTTGTCCAGAAGGTTAAAGAATGGAGGGGAATGCCTAGACCTTATAGTGAAAGTTACATCTTCCCTTTGAAGTGCATGCAGGTGTAATGTCTCCACAAATCCCTGGGCAATGAAATACTTACACCAGGTTTCCTAAAAATTGAGATGGTCCTTGGAATTGCCTTTCTTAAAATGCAGACAGAAAGTCAAGATGGGGAATGGTGGTGAAAGAGATTTGCTGGGGCACTAGTAAGGTGTTCTGAGAAAGGCAGACCCCTGGGCACAGGGCTCTAAGCTGACATGAACAAGCTAACATGAATGCACAGGGGACAGCTGTGGCTAAGGAATCTAACTCTAGATTTTGAATTTCCCAACTTTAGTCTAATAACCAAGAAAATGAATTTGCTTGCATTTGAAAGGAATGGATACTTTAAAGGGAGATATTTGATGCTTTTAGGAAATATGGGATAGGGGAGTAGAGAGAAATTATAACCAGCAGCTGTGAGCTTGGCTGAGGTGGTTCAATGGTTGAGCATTGACCTATGAACCAGGAGGTC